GTGGGGCGAGCACAATGCCCCTCACAGAGCTCTTCTGTAGAGCACCGCACAAGCTTCTTACGGGCTTCGACGGAGACCACCACCAAGCCATCTAGGAGGTGGCAACCTCAAAGAGTAACAAGCACTACCGGCTTGCAACTCGATCACCTAGTGCCACTCGATGCAATCTCACAATGCAATGCACTAGAATCACACTCACTCGCAATCGATTCGCACTCTTGCAAGCACAAGTGAGTTAGAGGGCATCCAAGCACTTCTACACAAGCCACATAGGCGTGAGGGTGCTCAGCGACCAGCCTAAGGCCGACCACATACTCCTTTTATAGCCCTAAGGGCTAAAATAGCCGTTACCATTTCACTGGACAAAACGCGCACTGACCGGACGCGCAGGTCATAACTACCGGGCGCGTAGGTCGTAGAGTTCGGTCGCTAGGATGACGCCACGCGTCCCCTCCTTTTGAAGCCAACCATTGGGCTTCAACGGCTAGTTCCCGCGCGCGCATACTCTTGACCGTACACGTCTAGGTCCAACGACCGGACGCGCCAAGGCCGAGTCCGGTTATCAACATATTTCTGCACAACTGGCCGGACTCGCCTTTCTCCTACAACCGGACTTGACTCTCCCAGCGTCTTATCACTTACAGAGAGGTTCCAGAGACGTTTTCAGCGACCAGACGCGTCCGGTCATCACACACACACACACATATATATACACGATGGATATGAAAAATAGAGGTTATGCACCGGGGCTTGCCATGGGCAGGCGCGGTGTTAGCTGAGTCAATTAATGGTAGCTTTGGGACCTCCTCCTACACGAGAATCTCCTCCTTGTACTCCCCGATGATCTCCTCGAACTCGTGATCGCCGGTGGTCACGATCTCCGCCGACTCGTTCTCTATATGCATGCGATGACGATGATGCAACAACTTAGTATTTAGACAACAACAACTCTTAAAATAAGAATACACATGTTAAGCTACTAAGCTAGCTCTAATGACTAAGATACTAAGCTAACTATCATCTTCATCAAGCAAAGTGTTGTGTTCAACTAACAAGCACCTAGTTTCGTAATTCAATGGTATGCCTTTATTTCTATTAAAGATTTAATGTATATTTAAACAAAGAACATTTAACTACCCTAATGTTTAGTCTAGTCTAAGGCCACAAAAATTACACTGAGCACATAATAATACAATGAAGCTATGATAAAAATTTTAGGATTAAAGCCATCACCAATTTATCACAAAAATTCATACAATAATTATCCTAATATTATTAAACACTTTCAAGTGATTTAATAGACTTTAGTACCAATACAAATATGTATGAACTAACTATACTAATAGGTAGATCACAATTTTAGGAGCCTGGCAAAATTAGTTTCATAATTTTTCAACACCGATACGATTTTATATTAAGTCTACAAGTTTAGCTCAAAATTAAATTAGAAAAGCATTAACCAATTCCTAAGAAAAGAAAAAACGATTTCAGCTGCGCAGCCTATTTACACGCGGCCCACGTGCGAGATGGCCCGCGGAGAGGGACGCCCGCGCGCGATGGAGCTTTTGCAAAAGAGACCTCGAGCTTATCTCGAATTACACCTAAACCCACAACACTTTTCCTATGTCTCTCTGACTAATTCATTTAACCCCCTATCTTTACTAAAATTTCCTCGCGCACGCCCCGACGACTCTGTGCATGGCGGCGCGGCGGATGGTGGCACGGGGCGGTTACGTCGGCCACCAGATGCTCGCGCAGGCCCAGCTAACGGGCCGACCTCCACCTACGGCCCTAGCGCCTATACTAATCGGCGGTGAGATGTAGCGGGACGCACCGGAGTGGGCGGCAATGGTGCGCGGTCATTCACGACAATGATGCAGCCGTTCAAAGAGCTATGATGCTAACAGAGCAGTAGAGGTAGCGGAGAAGCATCAAGGGCTCACCGCAAACCTGGGCGAGGTGATGGTTTGGTCAAAGCCTACCTGAGCAGGGCTGGCTGCGTGCGACCGAACGGTGCGGCGGTGCACCACGGCGGACACGGTGGGGTCAGCGGCGTCGGGGTGGTAGTAGCGGTAAGGCCAAGGGGCGCAGAAGGAAGAGGAGTTCTAGGCTAAGCTAGTAGTGCAACCGATTTGGCTTTAGGTGGTTGGCTGGAGGGCTGCCATCGGCACCTGCCGATCATGGCCTTATCGGCCCAGCGGTGAGGAAACACCCAAATTGGAGTTTGGCCGGGCGCGATTCAAGGCGGGGTGGGGACGGTGAACATGCGACTTAATGGCGGAGCATGCGACGCGACGACTCGAGTCGAGGTGACCTCTCCAAGCCTAATTGGTGAGCGGGGTCAGCCGGTCGGGATGGCAAAGAAGGGAAAGGGGTAGGTTAGAGCTCGGCTTGTCCTCGCCTTGGCGGGACGTGGGAGGAGCCATTAGTGCGTCACGCGTGCAGCAGCTACGGACAAAACGTGCGTGTCCATGACTAGGCACGGCATGTGCGGCCGTAGTGCCATAAATGGCGAGGCGACGGCATTAGCAGCGGGGCAAGGCCACGTAAGTGGTGGCGAGCAGGATAGCAGCAATGTCGCAGTGTGAGGCAGGGAGGACAGCGACAGCAGTAGTGCGGCGATGGATAGGGTAGCCACGCGGTAGGGCGGCAGCGGCCGAGGGGACGTTGGGCCAGCGGTGAGCCGTCAGGTTTGCATGCCAAAGAAGAAAGCGCGCATGCTGCCGAGACGCCAAGCCACGCCAAGCCGAGGGTGGCCTCGCCCACCAATGCAGCGGCCCACGCACGCGCGCATGGTTTCGGCCGAAACATGGCCACATGGTGAGCGTTGGAACACGATGACCGAGCACTCCAGGCCAAGCGACCAGAGACGTGTTGCGCACGAATTTTAAAGCGTCTGCAAAAACTAAACTACTGGAGTTGAAACTAAACCACCTTCACTATGCTAAAGAGGGCCTATTAGGCTACCAACCAGAGCTAAAACATGACACCCCTATTAACTCAATTTCACAGGTGTAATTCCCAAACATCGTGTTGTCAAACTGTCTTTAGACTTGAGGGATTTTCTAAGTCTTGAGCTGGATTCAATTTCGAGTTTCATTTCTAAGCTTTTAGAAATACTAGCTAGCAATGTTATTTTTCTACAGCAAGAGTTGCATTGTCATCTATAATGTTTGTACTTCAGACCTTATTTAGGTGTCACACACATGTTCTATAATACTTTTGTTTTATAAAAATTGGTTTTCAACCATACTTGATATACATGAGCTATTGAATCAACTTTCATTTAATATTTTTATTAGTCATTTTATGTTATAAAAAATTGATCTACACACTTTATCACATGCTTTATCACATAAATATGATGCTCATGACATGGTTTAGTGGTTTATTTAGGGTGTAACACCGAGGGTGTTACACTACGTGAGCGCGACCTGGCTCGCCGGGAAGACAACGTCTGCTGCTGGTCCTCCTCCGGCCAAGGACGCCCACCATCCCTCCTGCGTCTGCGTCTGCGGCTGCTGTTGCCGCTGTTGGTGCTCGATGAACGCGGCGACGGCGCGGCTCACCGTGTTGGCGTTCCAGACGCGTCCCCCGACGTGGAGGACGCGGCAGAGCAATGCGGTCGGGAGGGGCGCGTTGGTGGCGGAAGGCAACGCGTCCATGACGGCCTCGAGCAGCGCGCGCTAGTCTGCGTCCGCCTGGACGACGACGGAGCCCGATGGACGGGCGCCGCGAGAATCCCGGCCAGGACGTGCTCCGCGTAAGTGGTGGCCACGGCGGTCCGGGCCTACGTGGTGGCACCGCAGCGCAGCGCCGCGACAACCCTCCGAAGCAACGCCGGAGACAGCGCCGCGAGCTCGGCCGCCCACCACCCGGGAGCAGCACCTCGCAGGACTGCAACACGTCGGCGGCGCCCGGGAACGACTGGAGCGCGGCCTGCGCGAGGAAGTCCTTGGCGCGGCGGGCTAGGTCGGGTGCGTCGAGGAACGCCGTGGCAGTAGCGCGCCGCCACCGGGTTCAACGCTGTGGAGGTATGCGGCGAGCTGCACCGGTTTGTGTCATAGGGCCGTCGCCGAGCCGCCACCGTGCCGCTCTCGCGTTTACCAAGCATAGCCACGCCACCAAACGCCGCCTCCAGGCGATACACGCGGGGCAGCCTTGCCCAATCAGCGGGGCGCCGCCCCCCTTCGCCTTTGCCACACGCGGCACCCGCTTCTATCTGTATGGCACGCCACAAGACCAGCAGCAGAAGCTCACAAGGCCACCGCTGCCCCGGATCAATGGCGAGGCACGCAGGTTTAATCGTGGGAGAGAGAGAGAGAGGGGGACGAGGGGGCACGGTCTGGTGGCATAGCGCAGGCCCCACGCATCAAATACATGCCACGTCAGCCTAACGTGGGTTAAGGTCCATTTGGACCTAGATGAGACCCGTAACCAAGTTGAAGGACCCAGAAATACCATTTTGAGAGTATTGTGACCTAAATGACATCTCATGCCAAGTTCGAGGACCGCCGGTGAATTTTTCTTAAAAATATTATTTCATGGCTGATAAGTTCAAGCGGGGCAATTTCAAAACCTACCGTAACCATTTTGACATATATTCTGCAAAAAGAAAAGTGCAAGATCCCAACCGCCTAAAATAGCTATAGGTTTTGAATTTCAATTGAAAACGAAGAAAGACTCACAGCAGAACTGCCAGAACAGCTACCAAAGGCCCCTAAAAAAAAAGAACAGCTACCAAAGGCCCATGTACCTACATCTCCTGAGGATAGCAGCACAAATTAGAGCCCATGGGCATGCAAACACAAATTGCGTCTTCATCTGTTATCATCTCTCTGTTTCAGTGTCTCACTGTCTCTAAATCCGCTCAAAAGAAAAGAAAAAATTGCGATTTTGCTGGGACGCTGAGTCAGACTGAGGGTCTGAGGCGTTGAAGGTTGAACAGCAGCCGCCGTCACCGCCAAGCGAAACCGAAACGCCCCCGCGCCGAGCCGCCGATGGCGTCCGAATCCTCCCCGCCGCCGGCGCAGGCGCCACCGCCGGGCCCGGGAGACAAGCTGGCGGTGTTCTGGCACGAGGGCATGCTGGACCACGACGCCGGCCGCGGCGTGTTCGACTCAGGCCGCGACCCGGGATTCCTAGATGTGCTCGACCAGCACCCGGAGAACGCCGACCGCGTCCGCAACATGGTCTCCATCCTCCGCCGCGGGCCCATAGCGCCCTTCCTCTCCTGGCACTCGGGCCGCCCCGCCCACGCCTCCGAGCTCCTCTCCTTCCACTCCTCAGGTGAACCCCCAAAGCCGAAATCCCCTCACAGACTTTCTTGTAGCTCTTACTACCTGTCCATCGCATTCTGGAATCTTAGATTCACCAAATTGTCTCTTTTTGTGGTGTTCGCATTGTAAAATATATTTGTAAACGCTGAGCAAAAGTCAGTTACCTTCACGGTATATTGGCTAAAATCTTCTTGTGGTTGGTTTGCAGAATACATAGAGGAGCTCGTGCAGGCGAACGCCACCGGAGCCAAGAAGCTCTGTGAGGGCACGTTCTTGAACCCGGGCTCCTGGGGCGCGGCGCTTCTAGCGGCCGGGACCACGCTCTCCGCCGTGAAGCACATACTAGACGGGCACGGGAACCTGGCCTACGCGTTGGTTCGGCCACCTGGCCACCACTCGCAGCCCGACCATGCAGATGGTTACTGCTTTCTGAACAATGCCGGACTTGCTGTGCAGCTGGCTCTGGATTCCGGGCGCGCAAAGGTTGCCGTTGTGGATATTGATGTACACTACGGGAATGGTACCGCGGAGGGCTTCTATCGTACAGACAACGTGTTGACAATGTCTCTTCACATGAGGCATGGTTCTTGGGGGCCATCGCATCCGCAGAGTGGCTCCGTCGATGAGATTGGTGAAGGCAAGGGGCTTGGGTACAATCTCAATATACCTTTGCCTAATGGAAGTGGAGATGCTGGGTATGAATATGCGATGAACGAGTTGGTTGTTCCAGCGATTGATAAGTTTCAGCCTCAGCTTTTGGTTCTGGTGATCGGTCAAGATTCTAGTGCGGTAAGTTTAGTTCCCACACTTGTTTTCCACTTCTCCTCTACATTACATGTTGCTTCCATTAATCTAGTTAGAATTCCATGTATTTGTGTGGTCAATCCATTGCTCCATTAGCCAATTTTGCTAAGTAAATATTACATTAGCAGCTAGTGGATATGGTTGTCATTGACAAATAATGTACAGTTGACTCCATTTAACTGGTGCTTTCATTGTGATGCTTAAAATCCGTGGACCAAATAGCTAATAGGTCATATTTCCCCAGATGTACTTTTGGTGATTTTGATTTGTGAAGTGCAACCTGTTGTAGGATAAGGCACATTTTAGCAACAATTGATCCCCAGATTTTACAAGTAAAAGACATACAAGAACCACGATAAGATTGCAGACAAGATGAACATTTAGTCAACGCATTAGGACAGATTTATGCTACTCACAAAGTCATAAGCAAACATCATTTTTAATCGACACAATAAGCAGGTGAATATAAAGGGCGTACCCAGTGCAGAGAGCTCCTGCTCTATGCGGGGTCTGGGGAAGGGTGTCAGTGGCAAGCCTTACCCTCGCCTGTGCAATGCGAGGAGACCGCTACTCGAACCCGGGACCTTCCGGTAACTAGAAAAAATGCTACAGGAATTATACTCTAATGATTCTCTCAGTACAGGACTACGGGTTACCAAACCAATGGCCATCCAAGGCCTAAAAGGCTTTTAGGATCCTTGACTAAGTACGGTAGCATCCATTTTATTCCAGAATTTAGCTCAACTAGTTCACAGTTGATCAATTACACAGAGTTATCATGAAGTGTACAGATCACTTTGCAATGAGAAGTGCTCAATGGAGATAATGTGACAACATAAATGATCAATGGACAAACTTATTCATGAGTAAACCAGCATTTACTAGATTCTTAAATAATTCTATGCTGCCATACATGAATTTCACTGAACCCATATTGATCATTGAGCATCACATTCAAACCTGTAGTTGCAAGTCAGGCTTTAACCAATAATAAGCTCTTTTTCTTTGAGAAAAAAAGCGCTATACAAGAAACTAACATTAGATATTGCACATATAAGAACAGATAGCTGAGTGCACCACACTTACATAGTCCTTGTAGTTGAAGCAGAGTGACAAAGCACACTTGTGCCTGTCCCAGAAAATTATTTGCTCCCTCTATGCCGCGGTAGTACAGGTGTTGTCTTCGGAGATATGGTGCTGCTGTGCCAACTGCAGGGCACACTGCAACTGGTGCCCGAGTAGTAGATCGTCGCTACTCAGAGGGTCCCAAACTGCAGTTTAAAAGTCATAAACAACTGCAGTCTAGATTAGATAGGCTCAAATTTGGCTAGGTTATGTTTACATGATAGAGAACATTGCTGCTTCATTCACTCCGTGGCAAATTTTGTCAAAGTTGTTCATAATGTCCTTATTCTCTTTTCCTCCTTTCCCTGAGACCAACTATGAAAGAAAGGAAACTAGTGCAAGCTTGATTGGCTCTGCCGAGACCACCACCTGGAGCAACCTGTATGCATCCTCATCATTAACTTCGGGCAATCGCACTTCCACGCATGACTCATACCATTACTGAGTGCACAATTGTGTGATCACAAGGAGAAGGCTGAACAGGCTGCCAGCCTGAGTTATTATATAAATGATTCTTTTAGGGTTATTTACTCTGATAAAAAGTTAGTAGGATTCTCTGTTTGAGTCTATATTATTATTAATCTGATCCAAGTGAATGCATGTTAAAGATTTCCACATAACCCACATTTTTGTTTTATATATATCCTAGTGAATCCAAACATTATCTTTAGATTTTAGTAGTTATGACAATGAATTTCTTTGGTCATGTGATGCTGTGCTTAGAAGGGCAGGCATGGTGTAGTGGTGAGAGCTGTCTCACTGAATCACCAGGTCGCGGGTTCGAAGCAGCCTCTCCGCAGATTTTGCGGGGGGAAGGCTTGTCTCGGTTTTTCCCTTCCCTAGACCCCACTCATGTGGGAGCCTCCGGCACTAGGTCTGCCCTTTTTATGTGATGCTGTGCTTGAGGACACCTAAGTTCACATTTTCCTCGTCTTTGTTTACTGTCCATCAAAATCCTGTTGGTTGGTGGTGATAATTGCAAACGTTTTTAGAAAGAGACAAATTTCTGTAGACTCTATGACACCTGTTAGACCAACAATAATTACATTATGTTTTGATTTATGCAGTTTGATCCCAATGGAAGACAGTGCTTGACCATGGAAGGCTACAGGAAAATTGGACAAATAATGAGGAGCCTGGCTAATCGACATAGCAGTGGGCAGATATTGGTTGTCCAGGAAGGGGGTTACCACATCACTTATTCAGCATACTGTCTGCATGCTACACTGGAAGGAGTTTTGGATCTGGAAGCCCCGCTGCTTGACGACCCAATCGCTTATTACCCCGAGGATGAGAAATACACTATGAGAGTTGTTGACATGATAAGGAGTTGCTGGAAGGAATCGGTTCCTTTCCTGAAGGAAATTTAGCAGAAATCATGTTTTAGATACCCTGATTGAATTAGGAAGAACGTCACACGTCTATGTTTTTAGGCCTTCTATCTAAGATTCCCTGATTGGCTGATTCACAAAGACACAACCAATATTGCACAGGATAGCTTAAGAACATTGTTGCTGCTGCTGTTGAGTTTCTGAAATCAGGATCTTGTCAGCCTATTTTAGATAAGCAGCCGATCTTTTCCCTGAAGTGCTCTTGGTGGCAGTAGTAGGAAGGCGGTGCTTGAGAATGACCGAGAGCCACTAGTGGACAAATCTTGATTGGCTAGTGTCCAAGCAAAAAGGGTGATGCTCGCTCCCTACCAGAACTGGAATGTGCTTTTCCATCTGGCTCATCTGATGGTCCAAATTGCAACATGCCGGGCCAGTCAATTGGAGTGCATGAATGAAGCATATATCCGCTGGAAGGAAAAGCTCAACGTTGATGCCAAAGCGGAAATGATCTGGAGGAAGGAACGGACCTCCTTGTTTGGCTGGTGGCCAACGTATTCCTCGCCGTATTGCATCAGATTCTTGCATGTACTTGCTGCCCTGTCTACGTCACCTAGGTTTTTCAGCAATCATATGCCAGAGTCAATTGTCAATAGGACGGAGTATATCTTCCTTTCCCGGTGTTTTGTAGTGAATTCGTGTGGTTAGTCGTGTGCGAACCTTTTGTTGGGAGCGAGTATATATAGCTGCTGTTCTTTTGGATTGGAGGTGCACACGACATGTTTTTGTTGTTACAAGATTACAGCGCAATCTGTGTAGCCGCCATCTCTTTCGCTGAATCGCTGCTTGTGCCGTGCTGTGCACATGCACAACAGCACTGTCAAGGTAATCTCGCGGCGTGCTTCTTGGTTACGTTGCCCCTGCCGATGTGACGCACATTCGGTGCAGATCCTAGTAAACGGAGTTGTTTTACTCATCGTCGTCAGCTTCAAAACCCTCGAACGAGACGCGTTTTTGCCGCGGATCGTGCCTGCCGACAACGCTTGCGCTGCTGAGTGCTGACCCGACCATCAACATCAATCAATCAGCGCTGCTGTTCAGTTCTACAGACATCAGACTACTGGGGCTCTCCACTCCTCCAGGCTCCAGTCCAGAAACCTTCGTCCTTAAGTCTTCATCATGTTACCTATTCCATGAGCAAGATACGTCATCATTAAGCACCGAGTATTGTTTTTGTTGTTGCAAAACTGTCATTCTGTTTTAGTGGACAACGTTACTCAAACGAGAATACCAACAGTATTTTTGAAAAAAAATCATAATAACTGTTTAAAGAAGAGACAGTTTTGCAAATCCGATGTTTTTTTGTGCACTGTCGTCAGTTCTCATCAATCGAACCAAAAACATGCTTTGACAGCCAGCAACGGTTGCGGGCGTGACGCCCGCGTGAGATCAGCGTCTGGTGCATCCTACATTCCTACGGCCACCGGCTTTCCCCATTTTGTCCTTGACTCAAACGCGCAAGCCACCTCCTCTTCGCTTCCGTCCCTCTCCTCTCCTCCCTCTACGCCGCTTCTGCTCGCCGGCCCAAATCGACTCGTCGACCACGCCCGCCGCCAGGCTCCCGTCTCCATGGGTCTCCTCTCAAACAGGTCACCCCTCAGATCCATTCCTTCTCTGGTATTTTGTTCCTAGATAGACTCATCCGTATTGGTGGTCAGTCTGATCCCTGCAGTGCGCGGTTATTTTCCCCCTTCTTTTGTGAGAACTTTTTTCATTGTGTTGAGATAGGATTGGGAAGGAGAGCCTCAAGGCGGGGGATCACATCTACTCCTGGAGGGCCGCGTGGGTCTACGCGCATCACGGTGAGGTGATTCGTATTGTATTGTATTGTTTATATTACGCTTACTCCGTTGTATTTAAACTTTGATTGATTGGATGATTGGATCACATTAATTTGCCAAGGTTTTGGGTTCGTGAATTTGCGAAATGGGGACTTGGCTTAAATGTTATGCACCACTCTCATGCTATTCGATATTGTCTAATCTACTTACTTCATGCGTGTAGGTCTCATCACCGATGTCGGATGCTTTGGGTTAGCAGGGAGGGGATTTCTCTGAACTGATTGGCCCTGAAAATGTTTTTAGGGTAGAGATCTCATTAGCTGCTTGGGGCTTGGATTGATTCCCTAGATATCTTAAACACCAGCACCGTTTGGTGAGCGTATCCACGAACCCTTTGTTTGTGCATCAAATCAGCATGGTTGATTTCTAGATGCTGTCCATGGTCTGCTGTGCCGTTCTTCAAAGTTTGAAGTCCAAACTCAATAGGAGTTTTATGTCAGACCAAACAAGACAGACAAGTTCCATTTGGAACTAGATAGGCCCCCTAATCTTGTGGAAATTGAATCGAACCATGTGAAATTCTTGCCTTCAAAGGGGGCCCTACCTTAAAGCAATGCAATTGCACGGTAAACAATAGATTGATTATGGAGCCATGGAATACATGTACATATACAGGCAAGGATCATCTAGGTTAGGTTTATAGAAGTATTACCACCGATGGATATCCTTGCCTATGGTTAGAAAACCAATCTATCGAAACCATACGGGCTCAAGGCCCAGGTGCAGCTAATAGACCGGGCCAATAAGGCCTAGCCGGTTATCTGTCTAACACCACCACCTACGTCCTCTCTTTTCCCTCTTCTTTTTATTTATCATTTCCCAAAACTTTCTCTTTCTTGTTACTGTCAAGCTCTAACGGCTGAAAAAATTTAAATTGTAAATTTTAGGTGAGTGGAGTAGCTTCGAAAGTGCACTGTAAAAGAAGATATTTACAGCTTTTTTATGTTTCTCAAACTAAAAGTTTGTGAATATGTACACAAATCAGTGCATTGTGCATTGGAACTGGACATATCGGACTGGCTTGGTAATAAATGGTTATAATGGCTCTGGAGACACTTTCATTAGTGTGAAGATGAGATCATTTAAGTCCTTCCTTCAAACTGCACCATATGAGATACATATGTGGACAGTTTGTTGGCAATCAAATTACTTGTCTTTTTCCACGAATCGGCAGGAGAGATGATTATGTTGAGAAGGAATAGATGATCTGGTTACATTTGATATAAAAAAAAAGATGGACCACACGGTCCCTAGCCAAATAGAAAAGACCACACTCCATAAACTGAAGGAACAAAAACTGCCCGGGAGGAATGAAATTATGTTTAGTGTATTGCCGTATGCATAGGTGTTTTTGGGTTTAATTGATCACCCTTTTGACAGGCGCTACATGGAAAAAAAAAATGAAATTGTTATTGCAGATTGTATATCTTTGGGTAACCTACTAACCTTGTAGGAAACATTGTAGGTATTTTGTTGGGGGAATTTTCTTATGTATGAATGTTCCCCTTACCTGTTATATGCCACTTCCATTCATTGTGTTACTGACACGGTGATCCAAACACTGAACCTACCTTGTGATGCATTGAGGAATTTTTCAATGCACACAATCCTATGCAATTTGAGGTGCCATTCAAAGTAAATTTGTTTAACCGTACATTTCTCACAGGAATATATGTGGGTGATGATAAGGTGATCCATTTTACAAGAAGTGGCCAGGAGGTTGGAACAGGAACTGTCGTTGATATTCTTCTTGTGAGTTCTGCCCCAAAGCGAAGCAACACGCCTTGTCCGGTATGCACCAACGAAATCAGTGACACCAGCACAGAGACAAACGGTGTGGTATCCTCTTGCCTCAGCTGCTTCCTAGCTGGGGGTGCCCTTTACCGTTTCGAGTATGCAGTCAACCCAACGCTCTTCCTTGCCAAAGCACGAGGAGGAACGTGCACCCTCGCGCACTCTGATCCTGACGATACGGTGATTCGCCGTGCCAAGTACTTGCTGAACAATGGTTTCAGGTGCTACAATCTGTTCAAGAGCAACTGCGAGGACTTTGCGATATACTGCAAGACTGGCCTTCTTGTGGCTGAGCGCGGTGTTGTTGGGCAGAGCGGGCAGGCTATCTCCATCATCGGTGGACCTCTTGCTGCAGTGGTCTCAACCCCGTTCCGCTTGGTTACCACAAATATCTATGGAATGGCAGTGATGGCCGTCGGGGTGTACTGTGCAAGCAGGTATGCAGCTGATATTGGCAACCGCCGTGACGTGGTGAAAGTGGAAGTAGAAGACCTGACGGCCGGATTGGCCAGCGGCAGGATACGTGCTGTGGAGAACATCGCTCAGCTGGTGGCTCCGGCGGCAGAAAGCCCAGCCACGGCCACACTGGCTGCTTAATGTAGTATTGTTGTTATGCGTCAGTCAACATGTTTACTATAGCTTTGGTTCATTGTGTTCAGAATCCGCTTAAACTCTGTTGAAGTGAGCTTTCCATTCGGCAATGTCTGTACGAATCTCGATCTTGTATGTGTTGTAAGTGTTATGTTTCAAAGATAAAAATGTGACTGTTGTGCGTCTTGTTGGTAGACTACCGAACTATCAACATGAGTAAATTTGCTCGTGAAGTACAAAGATGTTAGTATTGGTAAGGCAATCCAAGAAGGTCCGAAGGTAAATTTTATAGCTCATCTTTTATTAGAACAAAAAAAGGTCTTATATAATTCAACAACTTATAGTTCTTCAATTTGGTTAACTATGTCTTTGAAAACAGGTTTCTGCTCTCGAATCCTTCTTTAAATAAGAAGGATCAACTCTAGATAACCCATTTGGGGAAAGACAATCATAGCTATTAAGAATTAATAAACATGCGCTGATCCTATGAATTGAATTGAATTCCTCTACTTATATCGGCTAGAATTGGGTGGCTGATAAGAATTGAATTGAAGTGAATCTCAGGGGGATTGTAGAATGATGGAAAATAGTGGAAGTGCAGAGGCATGTCGACAGCAGGGTTAGGTGCAGCAAGCATGGGTGAAAACATATAATTGCATCAAAATATTATTTTTATATAATTACGTGGACTGTAAGGTGATATCTAGAGAACGTGTGGTCGCTCAACACAAGCTGGTGGTGGCTGACTTTCGCTTTCTGGTGCAAGCTCGTGGGAACAAATAAGCTAGGATTGCTAGAACGAAGTGGTGAAAATTAGAATGGGAGGCACCAAAGGTCTTTAAGGAAAAGGCCATCGAAGAGGGCCCTTGGAACGATGAAGACGATGAAAACATCATGTGAGAGAAGATGACAACATGTGTTCGGAAGGTTGCTTCAGAGGTGCTTGGAGTGACCAAAGTAAGCGGATGCGACTCGAAAGACACTTGGGCCCCGTTCGGCTTACTCCATATTTGGCTTGTTCGACTTGTTTTTTCAGCCAGAACAGTATTTTTCTCTCACAGCAATTCAGCCAGAACAACGTTTTTCAGCCAGTTTAAGCCAAAATTTAGCAAGCCGAATGGGGCCTTGGTGGTGGAATGAAGATGTGCAAAAGGCTATTAAGAAAAAGGAGTGTTATAAGCGCTTGTATCACGACAGGTGTGCAAACAACATAGAGAAGTACAAGGTGACAAAGAAGACTGCAAAACGAGCGATGAGTGAGGCAAAGGGGCGGGCCTATGAGGACCTTTACCGACGTTTGAGTACGAAGGAAGGAGAGAAGGACATTTATATGATGGCTATGTCTCACGATAGGAAGACAATGGATTTCAACCAAGTCAAGTGTATAAAGGATGAGAGGGAGCAGCTCTCGGTGAAGGAGGATGAGATCAGACATAGATGGCAAGAATATTTTGATAAATTGTTCAATGGTGAGAACGAGAACACCACCGTTTAGCTGGACGACTCGTTTGATGACACTAACATGTGCTTTGTGCGGATGATTCAAGAATCAGAGGTCAGAGAAGCCTTAAAAAGAATGAAAGGGGGCAAAGCGATGGGCCCTGATGGTATCCCAATCAAGATGTGGAGATATCTCGGGAATATAGCTATAGTATGGCTAACCAAGACGTTCAACAATATCTTTCGATCGAACAAGATGCCTGAGGAGTAGAGAATAAGCACATTGGTACCAATCTACAAGAACAAGGGAGATATCCAAAGTTATACTAATTATCGGGGAATTAAGTTGATGAGCCACACTATGAAGTTATGGGAGAGTCATCGAGCAGCGCCCGCGAGGAACGACGCAGATATCAACAAACCAATTTGGTTTTTGTTTACACCAAAATTTGGAAGAAGAATCGCAGGGACTCAAAAGCTCCCAAGATTATGTCATCAAGGAATCGGCTTTCTTCAGATAGCACCAGCAGATAACGACAAAGGCTACGATCGGCGTCGGGACAAAGCATGTTGGACTCTAAAAAAGGGAAAGATTAGAGTCCAAGTTATCTTAAATTCAGAATGTTTTCTCTAGGGCCAAAAATTGTGATGAGTCGTACTTAGTTAGGAATCATGCGTAGGTTCCGGGTATAAATATTGGACCTCGGCTATTGTAAAGGACACACAATCAATCAAATATAAGTTACTTACTTTTTTCGGCTTCGGCCACCCCTTAGGAGTAGGAGTAGAGTAGATTTCGGTGAGTTCTTCAGCAATTATGGATGCATAGATCCGATCGACTTCCACTGCTTGTCTGTAAGTACCGTCATGGCTTATACTTGTCGGGTTCATAAACCCGGGATCCCTCGGGGACCGGCTTCTACGCCAGGGCTCGGCCCAGAAAAATAGCATGTAGTTCGTGGGCCGACCCAAGAGCCTAAAACACAACGGGCCGGAGGGACAGTCCGGTCGCCGACCGGAAGGTCTACCCAAAAACAAGCGCTCGCTCATCAACCTCTCCGGCCCACCTCTCTGACCGAAGCATTCGCTTTGGGCACCAGCCACCTCCGGGCGGTCTCTCCGATCGGAAAGGCCTGGCCCAAAACACCGCTTCCTACTCCGACCCCGCGTCTCCGACCGGGGACCCCGTAGGAAGCCTGCTTACCACTCTTCTCCGACTGGCGCGGCCAGGGCCGACTGGGGCCATCCGACCGGGGACACCCACTCGGAAGGCACCAGGGGCAAACGGAGAAGGCAGTGCACAAAGTCAAACCACGATACCGGGACCATACCCTGTATGCCTGCGGGAACAGTACTCCTCAACCGCCCTGACACAAACAGTATTGTAGGCACCATTGGGCTCCCATACGGCAAAAAGCCCCCCGCATACCTCTGGTCATCGATAGTAGGCGCCAAGGTTCACCATACCTGGTACACAGGGTAGGGTTCCTCACATACCAATAGTATTTTGTAGGTATCGACATCCACCCTTCCTGAAGAAGCCAACGCAACCTCCCATGTGCACCTGACATTCTACAGTGACATCAACAATATTGTGGGCGCCTACCATCATTGCTACCCTCGTCGACGTGGGCAACAAAGCTTAGAAACATCCGTACTCTCCCTCTTACCTGTAAAGCCATCCCCTTTATATATAAAAAGGGGATGCGCTCCCTCCAACGGAAGAGGCCATTTTCTTCGAGTTCAGACTCACTAGATCGATAGCTCACAAACCCCTCAAGCACACGCTTGAACACCTAGCTCATAGCATAGTTCCGGTCGCCCTCGGCCCTTCCGGTCGGACCCGACCAGGCCTCTCATACATCCCTCCTTTCTCCTTCTCATTTGTAACCCCACTACAGACTTCGAGCACCTGGGCTCAAGAATAAAGTCACCGACCGACCCACACTGGACGTAGGGCACGTTGCCTGAACCAGTATAAATCATGTGTCATTGAGTGCTAGGCCACCTCCGATCACAACGTACAGCAAAACTACAAATATTCACTAGTTGGTCACTTTCTGTACCGACAGTTGGCGTCGTCCGTGGGGAAGACGTTGTACGTTCAACACTTTTTGGTCATCGGATGACCCACTTTTCCGCCACCCCCACCATGGCGGGCTCGGGCGATACGATTCGCCTCGGCTCACTGGAGTATCCCGCACTCTCGCTTGCGGGGATGCGGGTTCCACTCGTTTTCGAGCCATCCCAGGCCTTCCTCTTCGAAAGCCTGGACTTCGTCGCCGACCAGCTCGGCGTACTCCACCTCCGCGAGGAGACTCGTGACCCGGCACCCGTCGGTGAGACGTTCTCCATCGACTTCAGGACGCGCGACCTCAACGGCGCGGCATCTGTGCTTCATTCCGAGCAAACTCTATGCTCAAACCCCGCTGTGAGTAATATACATGCTGTTCTTTACTTACTACATTCTATCCTCCGCCAAATACTCGAAGGGCTGCTGTTGTCCCCGTCGTGGCCGCCGTACAACCGGTCCCCCTATGGCCTCGCGTCTCCCGTGGACGCGTACGCCCGGGGGGCTTCAAAAGATTATGGCGCCGCCTCCTCTCACGTCTGAGTTTGTGGGGATGGCGAGCTATGGTCCCACCTGTTTCCTCGACATCATGGACGATGACGTCGGGAGTGATGGCTCCAGCATCTGCGACGTGGCACCCATCCACCGTCCGCCCCGGGAGTGCGCCATGACAGACGCTCCGGAACAGCCGCCAGGGGCAACGGAGTCCTCACAGACTCATGCCCCTCTAGGCCCCCATACGGAGGCCTCCGAGCTCACACGAGAGCACGGGGAGGACCTACGACGACAGTGGCCGCATCAGCCACCGACTACGCCAGTGCGCTCGGTGCGCTACACTGCGCCTCATGCGTGTGGACCAGCGAACGGCGCTTGAGGTCATGCCCGTCAGGTCCAGCGCAACACCCCGGATAGGGGGACCGATCCCCCGCAGTTCGCTCGGGCCAGTCAGAACATTACCGCCGCGACAATGCTCCTGTGCAGCCTATCTAAACCGAACGACCCTCGCGAGCGGGTGATCCACTGGAACCTTCGGGCACTGGTGGAGACCACCGCCGTTCAGCAAGCGGAGTGCTCCATATCGCGATGCCGACTCGTGACCTCGCTCCCAGTCCGGGGAACAGGGACGCAGTAGATGGGGCAGTACACCCTGTCACCGCAACAACCGCTGAGCGTGGCACATGAGGCCACAACGACACCTCATCTTGACCTGACGGCCGCTCCACACCAACCACCTATCTTCGCGCGGCTCGGATCAAACCGAGGCACATGCAGCGGCGACCGGAGTCCCAGCACTGACGGCCCAGGACCACTGACCTTTGCCCAACTCCCCCAGCAAGCGCCGTTCTCACCGTGCTTCAACAGAGGCCACGACACAGGTAAGGCCAAATGCTAGGATCAAGACGAAGGCCCCTCCACGCAGAGGGGTAAAAAGAATAGAAAATATCGCCGCCGACCGGCCAACTCCGCGTTGGTCGCCGCGACCGATCAGCTGGGC